ATAATGGATTTGAAACGCGTCGGCCAACTCATCGCTATCTACATATATATATATATATATATATATATATTTCTCAAAAGGATTTTACTTGTACTTTTTGATTAAAATGGATTATATTTAACAATCTGTTTAAATTTAACATAATAAAAAAAACAAAATACAAGTACTAGTTTGGAAACATTTACTACAGAAGGTTGAGTGTGTTGTATTAAAGCAATTATGAAAATACAAATCATCAAATCACAAGATAACCATAATTGATATAAAGTCAAGGTGGAATGGCACATGTCAAAGTTACATTTTGACTTTGTTTAGCATTTCATAGGTAGTGTGATATCAACAAATATTTAACAGATTTGGGAAGGATATGTAACAGCTCTTCTGAGACAAAATGTTCATATACTCTGATCTTAAAGATTTGTTCAGATGAAGATTTAGAATTTCCAATGAGAGGATACCCCTTGTACTTAATGACACTGGTAAACAAAGGAATATGGATCAACTAGGGGACCAGCTAAGAACTTGGGAACAGAAAGGTCAGTGGTAAAAGCCATCCATATGCCCCAGGCAACAGCATGCGATATAATCAAGAAGGATCTCCATCAGGAAAAGTGACACAAGTTGCTTCCACAACATATCTGCTTAACCACTGCATACCTCAAGCTACTGGAAAATAAAATGGATATTTTTGCTATTCTATACACAGACATACAAGTCAAGTCACCAGACACAGTATCTACAGACTTCCAATCAACTGGGTGCTGGGAACTATCTTCCTTGTACAATAGGTTAATTACGAAAAATATACAGAGAGAATTGGTGTGCTTAGGACATGACAGCCTAACAATGGAGCCTTTTGCAATGAAAATTACAGTGAAGGACTTTTATCATGATTTATAGTAATCAGATAGAGCATGACCAAGCATAGCAACAAGACCTGTAAAAATGTGGTGAGGCTCCAAAATCATTTTAATATATTGTATTTCTACTCTGTATTAAATGCATGTTCTGTTCTTAAACTAAGATGAGTTAAATTTGGTAGGAACTGAATAACATTATGCATACAATGATGCTATATTTCACAACAAAACATTATTACTATCTATGCTACATCCTCAGTTTGATACAAGTTCTCAAGCTATGAATGACACTCGAACATATAACCCAAGGCAGGTGACACTAAGCAGAAACAATTCAGATTGGTAAAGACAAGAATACTATTACTTCACAGGATAGGATTAATAACAATAAAAAAAAAAGATAAAGCAACAAATATGTAGCACACAGGGGAGCAGTATAGAAAGAATGTAACAAGCAATAACATTAAACAAAAGAGAAACAAGACTATAAAAACAACACAAGCAATTAATCTGTACCACAAAATAAGAAACTGCAGAGAGAACACAAGTAAGAACAATTACGAGCATTAGGCAATCAAATCGTACAATAGATATTTAAAATAAGATTTTTTTTCTTATACAAGTAAACACATTAAGCCATTTTTATATAAATGTAATGTAGCAGTAAACAACTTTATAGAGTGTAGACTCACCTATAAGTTCAGCAGCCATTTGTAGGTCTTCACCCATTTTACAAATGTCACTAAACTGGATTAGAGCATCAACATGATACGGATGCATATTCAACAGACTCTATGAAACAAACTTTAAATTAGCATTTCAAATTAGAAATGTAAAACAATCTTAACAAAACAATGTTTAGTATGTTACACATAATTGAAAAGTATTTTAACTCTATGTTTTTCAATAAATCAAAATCTGTCATGAAGTAAAAATTTACAATACTATATTACATTGGGGTTTGAAATTAAAGTTAAGTTACCACACTACGTACCACAACATTTCAACAGTGACTGTGAGATAAGGCTGTGCTCCATAATGTTAAAAAAATCTACCAGTTGGGTAATTCATTTATCGTTTATAACAGGTAAAAGAAAAACCATTTTCAGGACCTACAATGTTTTTTCTCTTATATTATTTTTACAACACTACTATCATCTTGTTGACTAAAAGTAATCAAAATAACAAAAAAATACATTTGAATATCAACTTCATTAACATACTTTTCTGTGTTTCAAACTGTTTTCTTTTGTAATTTCAATGTCATCTTATAAAATGTATAAGGAAGATATGAAATGTTTTGGTGATTACTATAACAAAAACTTAACACATGTTATTCATGATTTGCATCTGCTTTATAACAGATCAACTGGAACTGAGAAGAATGGGGCAAGTGGGACTTAAAACATTGTTAGCCACATTCTAGAGAAGCCCTAAAAGAAAAACAAAAATATAGGAAGAGGTAAGAACAATCCCATGGTCCAAATCACCTGTCAGGTTATCTACGAATGTTGAGTGAACATGCTGTGTTTTGGAACTATCCACCAGTCCAAGAAAGAAGAGAGTTGAATATATCCAAGTCTAAATTCACTGAACTCAAGCCTAATTCATAGAAAATGATTTCTCTGAGTTACCCAGAAAGTAACATAAACTATACACAAGGTGGTGTCTTTATTATCTGGTAATCTTGTCTGGAACTTCACTTGTTGATTATCAGATTACATATGTATGCTCCCTAGTTAAGAAATAAATGGGGAAAAAATAACTAGTGACTGACTCACATCAAAGACCTTGTCAGATTTGAGTTTGAATATCCTTTTGGAGTACCACCAAGGAAATGAGCAAGTTTTCTATAATAAGTAGCTTGAACAAAAACTCATATTTTGTGTTTTGTATTTAGCGTTTTGACAACTGTTCACCAATCTAAAAAAAAACAATACATTATAATCCCAAATTTATCCAATTTTCTTCATATTCTATATATATATGATGGGCCTATAGCTGAATAAATTATTAACAGAAAACAGTATTAAAGGTTACGGATACTGCCCTGTGAGACTAAGCTACATATCAAATTATTTCAATGGTTCAAAACAGTATAATAGAATAAACAAATCACTACAATACTAGAACAGTAAAAAATAGAACTAGTTTTATCATTACACAACTCGATAAGGAACAAAGCATGTTACCACAATGTTGTCTGGATTAAAACTTTCAACAGCATCCAGAAACTGAAACTGAACTGTCTGGTACTGCTTACTATGTTCAAATGTAAAGAACTGGATGTCACCTTTGGTTTCAACTAATGTCATAGAAATTCCTGCAAATGAGAACACATGAAATAAGATGTAAAGTAGTTTTTGTATTAATAAAAAAAAAAGTCATAAGCACTATTCAGAGCAAGTGCACAAAAGTAGTTGTCATCCCACCTACCATAGTTTTTCTACGGGTTAAGCAACAGCAAAAACAATGGAACCTGGTGTATATTGTAATTACACATACACTTTTTTACTCTTTCATAACAGTTTCCCATATCTGAAAGTATATAAAACTTAGTTGGATAACGTCCCTATCATCTAAATAGCTAAGTTGATGAGAGCTCGGCTGATCTTGGTATGGGATTTGCTATCCAATACAATCAAATATATTTCAAAACGAAAGAACCCGTATTCTATAAAGATCTTTAAAAAATGTACTACATATGAAGAATTTAATATAATTATCTTATAACTTTTACCAAAATTAATATAAAAAAAACAAAGAGAGACCATGTAGCAATGTTAAATGCACTACATAAAAATAATTTATTCCTGTTTTTTGTTGTTTTAGATTTTTTTGTGGGTTTTGATATTTTCACAAACCTTACAAATATTGGCAATAAAATGTATAAAACCAACAACATTTTCTATATATTTTTCATATTCTATTGAATCAAGAACAGTCAGTTTTTATTCTCCTTCCTTTATAAGTAAGAGTAGTCATCATACATAAATCTGTTCAACATAGCACAAACCACATATGGAATGTTTATCACTAAATAATTAATATATAAATTAGTACTCAAGCATGGCAATATAACATTTGCCATACCTTTAATGTGAATAAAAACACTTAGTAGTTACAGGTAAAATCAATCTGGATTTATATACATGTGAAGACAAAGTAAACCCAATTTTTACTCCCATCAGAGGCATAGTTACATAAAAGTATTCCTATACTAGAGTTTCTTAAATAAATATATTCAATTATATGAAAGTATGAAAGATAAATTGAACTTTTTTTTGTTTTTTTAAATGAATGTAGGTAACAATACTTACTTAAACACAAAGTGTGTTAAATATTATTATTTTTTAAGTGCAGGGGAACTTGCACAAAATGACAAAGTGTACCAATTTTTTGAATTTGAAGCTTGTCAATTATAAAAACATGTGACTGAAAGAATAAATGTGCCTAGTGTATATGTAGGTGGAAGATATATTGAATTATGACTAAAAAACAACAACATATACCTGGTTTTCCTACATGAGGCCAGTTTCTTGGAATAACTAACACACTTGCTCGACTATGGCTTCTACCTCGGCCTCTGCGTTTACTGATGAAATAAAAATAAGTTTGCTTTTACAAATAATTTCAGGAATATTAGGAATAATATAACAATGAAAATGAATTCAATAATGTATAATCTTTAGATTATGTCTGAAAAAGTTTATAGGAAGTTTTACCAAGAAGAGAAGTAAATAAAATAAAGGATCCTTGAAGATGTTGAGAATAAAACATGAATTTTGGTTACATGAGTACAGAGAGGCGTACCTAGAATAATTAAACATCTTTGCACACTGCTTAAACTATGGCATATTCAGTAATTTTTATAAAAAAAATACTTTTATTCTGAAGCCATAATGAATAAGTTTACAAAATTAATTAAAATTCTAGTAGAATTCTACCTGTCCCAATTAAAATTGATAGCTGTGGTTTTACTAGATAGCATATATTAGTCTATTTAAATAGGACTAAGTAAAACAGGAATAACCGGGGTTGAGCCAAATATATATACATTTCAATTAAACAGATATACAAAGTAGCTAAATATCAACCTTTCATGACTGCAATCTTTCTGAATAAAATTACTGAAGGAACAAAAAGGGGTGGGTACATAGTATTACTGTATATTTAACATAAATAATGCTTTTCTTTTAAGCTAGAGGATTTCACAAGTATTAGGTCGTCAAGAAACTAATGTCGCATTTTGGAACACTTTCATTAACCATCCCCCCAAAAACGTATATCACATATCATAGTTAAACGAACAGCCTAAACATCACGTTAGTGTACTCTATATAACGTGTAAAGTTTAGTATACTCTAATCCCTTATAGTGATGG